GTAGAGTGGTGGGGGTGTAGAGTGGTGGGGGTGTAGAGGGGGCAGTGTTACCTCTATAATGGTGTTGACAGCCAGACTGGCAATGTCTAGCTCCACACAAACACTGGGGTAGGTATCTGGGATTTTTAGGGTGGGGGTGTAGAGTAGTGGGGGTGTAGAGTGGTGGGGGTGTAGAGGGGGCAGTGTTACCTCTATAATGGTGTTGACAGCCAGACTGGCAATGTCTAGCTCCACACAAACACTGGGGTAGGTATCTGGGATTTTTAGGGTGGGGGTGTAGAGTAGTGGGGGTGTAGAGTGGTGGGGGTGTAGAGGGGGCAGTGTTACCTCTATAATGGTGTTGACAGCCAGACTGGCGATGTCTAGCTTCACACAAACACAAGGGTAGGTACCCCAGGTTTGTAGAGGATGGGGGTGTAGAGTGGTGGGGCCATAGAGTGTTGGGGTGTAGAGGGGGCAGTGTTACCTCTATAATGGTGTTGACAGCCAGACTGGCGATGTCTAGCTCCACACATACACTGGGGAAGGTACCCGGTTGGTTCAATTCTACACTGCTATTCTCCTCTAGTTCCATACACAGCCTGAAATTACAGAACTAAATATATATAATCGATATCTTATATTTTGAGTAAAACTGATATAATCACGGTAGAGTAGCAAAAATGCTTACCAGTAAGTGGGAATGACCTTGGTTTAAAACATAAAAAGGGAAAAGTCACAATTACCTGCTGTCATCTGCCTCCTTGCCCCCGAGGTCTGGTCGCTCAGTTGTAGAACACCACAGGATGTGGTTGTGTTTGTGGAGGTGGCGGGCCAGGAACAAGTCGCAGCCATACAGTGTGATGTCACGTGGCATGTTGCCCACGGGTATGTGGAGGTAACGGCACTGCTCTACCATCGCCTAGCAACCAATCAAATTACAGCATAAATGTCTGAATGAGTCAGAGAGCTGTGCAGTACTTTTCTTCTGGTTAAAATTTGAAGGGGTGTTTAAAGGAAGTCTATAAATACCAAATTCTTCATTGTTTTTGAAAAAGTTTCTTTAATGAAATATATTCCTGTATTTCTTTCGAGTTGTTTTCTGTTGTCATGGTGCCCAAACAAACATTTTCATTCACACCATGTTGTCTGTAGAAATCCCTCACAGTGATAGTCCTGGAGGGAGCCATGGGGCCATTGACACCTCCACGTTCCAATTTTCTTTAAATTTTACATAGAATGGCCCCTCTTAATTCTGATATTGAATAAAAATTGCTGAAAATGGCCCACTGCTCTCAAAGTCCAGGATTTTCCCTGCCATCATTTCACAACCGAGTACACTAATGACCAATATACAGTAAAACCCCGTTGTAGCGCCAAACCCGCATACCACCATCATATTCCCTAAACGAATGGTTAAAATCACACTATTTTGACCTCGTTAAATACCGCCAATTTGAGTCAAGTACAGGTATATCCCGATAACAGGAATGTTACGGACTGTGTACATTGTATCGTCACACGTGACTGCCGACTGACCAGGTAATCAGCTCTATGCTTTATACCTGTGTACATTGTATTGTTACACGTGACTGCCAACTGAACAGGTAATCAGCTGTATGCTTTGCACGCTCAACAATTTGATACATTAAATTACAATTTTGAAAAAAACCACGTATTCTGCAGTAACCTTTTTTTTTTCAAACTATATGTTCAGTTGGTGTGTGAACACTTGTGAACACTTGAACACTTGGGTTTAAAACTGTAAACTCGTTATACTGCCAAAATCACAAAGAACAGAAGGTGGCGGTATAACAAGGTTTTACTGTATAGCAATCAATACACATAGTTATTTTGTGTGAAGGGTGAAATTCACACTGGGCGAAAAACTTCATGTTGACGCTCCTGCCGGAAAAGCAACACCTTAGTCTCGCTTCCACTACTTAATGGCGTTGAGACAAAAACCACAGTGTAGTGAGACAGGGATCGTTAAATGTATTATCTTAAGACCGTGAACACGGAGGGTGACCTACATGGAGGATGATGTCGACGTTGAGGTAGTGCTGTAACATCCGTCGACTCCCGACTCTCTGCCAGTCTAACACATTATATAGGGTATCACTGAAACATTCAATACGATACACCTCATTGTTATACATTTCCTTATAATCCAAACTAACCAACTTTTCTAGCTTTGGTCCTCCTTTCTGGCATCATTTGTTCCCTTTTCAAAGGAAATGTTACAATGAAAATATTCACGCAATTTTTCAGCCTTTTTTCACTCAATACTAGAGGCATCACAATTTGACGCGATGCACTTGTACTGCGATAATTCATGTTCGATTTGATTCATATATGTTTTTCTGGATTTTTCAATATGTCATGATCTGAATATTAATGTATGCCGCTTTAGTTGAAACATCTTTGAGTTGTTGTTTAATTTTGTTGGGTGATCTCATCGGATGCCTTATTTTACATAGATAGGTATATACACTTTAACTCGTTAATTTACTCGATGTTAACAGGTACATACAGGAATGATTTACTCGTTAATTACCTGTCTGAGATGTGTACAGGTACTAGAGGGAAGTCTTGGAGACCTGGCATGCTTGAAGTCAGGTGTTGGAAATCTGTAATCATAGCAAACAACAAACTTTAATAGAAAGGCATATATATACCAACTCAAAATGTTTGTTTTATTTTCCATTAAAAAATCTGGCCGTTCTCTTCCCTCATCCCATTGCATGCAGAAACAAAACAATACCATATTTCTTTTTAATAATGATAATAATTTGATGTTCTTATATACCGCTTTATCACAATCTAGTTTGTAGGTTCGTAGGTCGTCTCAAAGTGGTTCATAAATTATTATCCGTGGTTGTAGGGCCTTTGCAACCAGCCAATATATTTCTCGACTAACTGATAAGCATACAGCCGGTGCTGCCATTTAGGCGCTCACAGCTAGCAGTTAACAATTCTAGCACTGCCCAACCACATACTCATTTACAGCTGAGTAGACTGGAACAAGGGGAGTAAAGTATATAGGTCAAAGATACAAGTGCCGTGACTCGAACCCGCAACCCTTTAGTCACCAGCCTGGCGTCCCCCCACTAGACTACCGTGCCTCCTGTACACTTACTTACAAACCCATTGTAAAATAATATCAAAATTACCCAGGATGCATGGTTTACTGGTCAAATGCTCTAAACACAACTTTGTTTAACCCCTTCACCCCCAGGTAACTTTACTAGACTCTACCATAGCTCTATCTGGATGAGTCCATTGTGGTCCACAGTGGTGAAAGGGTTAAGGATCCCTGTCGCACTGCAGGCAAAACACTAGAGTAACCTCCCCTTCACTTTGTCCAGCTGGGCCACTTTAGTTTTTTTCGCGATCCAAACGGTTTGATCACAGTTGTTCGTTTATGAAATAAGGTTAGACCTTGTAATCTGATCCTGATTTCAGGCGAGCCTTGATAAAGCCTTGCAAGGTCTGCATGAACATTTGCAGGTCAGCCAGGATTTATACCCGAAAATGTTACATTCCAAAACAGACTAGCCGTTTTTTCCTTAAAAGACATGGGTTTCTTTTCAAAAATCATTTATTACTGCCAGAAGAAGAAAAAAAAGAATTCAGATTTGCTAATTGCATTTTTTAGCAGTGGTACAGGGATCCGTTACAGAAAATGTTTTTCCCGACAGCTTTCACAGACCCAACATTCATCTACAATTACCATGTGGTGATTGGACAGCTATAAATGTCGGTCCTCGTTTCTCGTCCTTGTAGGCGGACAGTATCCTCTGGATGGTTCGGTGGACCTGGCGAACATCCTTCTCCAGTTTGATGTCAAATGTGTGATGGGAGGGCGGTAACATCTCTTCAGCGGCACCCTTTGATACCCTTAATTATGCAAGGCAAAAGAAAGTTAAAATTGTGTTTCCTATTTCGGCTCCAACAATAAGAGTAATAACTTGAGGTTTTTGAAGTAAAACCAATTTTCATGATGTAATACTTACCATAACTTTAGTATGCATATACAATACCTACACCCATCTTTGTAGCCCAAAAACAAAAGATTCAAATATCCCTACCTCCCTACCGTGACGTAACCTCTATCTCGATGACAGAGCCACGGAGTGATCTCCCTTCCTCAAACCCCCTTTTATGGAGCCTAAAGGCAGCCAGGATGAGGAGGCAAGGGGAGGAATACAGGGTGGGACTCCATAAAGTTATGGTAAGTATTACATCATGAAAATTGGTTTTACTTCAAAAACCTCAATTTCATTTCAGTAATAATTACCATAACTTTAGTATGCGAATTCGTCTTACCGTAGTGGAGGCTTCGAATCCAGGCAGACCAGGCTGACGGAACAAACTCGAGACATGCTCAAGGTAGGGAAAAGGTTCAAGGAACCCCCCTAATAAAGCCCCGAAAGTAATTAAAAAATGGAAAACCTCCCCGTGAAACGAGCAGGTGTACCACCGTGGTGCCTGATAGCATACTATTTAAAATCACTGAATTACTGTGGAGGAACAGCCACAGACTGTGCAACCACCACCGGTCCAAGGGAATACAATCCATCAGAATGAGAGGCCAAGGACCGGAGATAAAAATCCGTGAAGGTAGTCTGTCCGCGCCAGAAAGCTGCGGACATGACCTCCTGAAAGGGGGACCCATTGAGGAGGGCCCATGACGCAGCAAGGGCCCTGATCTCATG